TCCCCTCCTCTCCTCTCTCTCCTCTCCTATCTCTCACGAGCCATCTTATGATCCCGCTCTGAAACGAGTAAAGATACGAGCATCGACCCCAAGAGGTTCTGCTGCATCTCCAAAGCGCGCAGAATTTTCATTGTCGTTTTAGTGTTGAAAACCCACGGACAGAAGTTGGTGGAAGAAAATGAATTTTTTTTGGAGCGTTGGCTAGAACTGAAATTTTTTCACTTTTATTTTTGTGTTTTGCCCCTAGCAGTGTTTTTACAGAAAAATAAATAAATAAATAAATAAATAAATAATAAAGTCAGGAAAAATACATGAGCAAGAGGCTCTCAAATCTCTGAGTTTGAGGCCAGTTACATAGTTTCAGGTCAGCCAGGGTTACATTGTGAGACCCAGTCTCAAAAACCAAAACAACAGTACCCTAAAGGCTGAGGCAAAAGGATGCGCAAAGGCTGGGCTGGGTTATGTTTCTAAAAGACTGGCTAGGGAAGTACTCAGTAGATAGAGTACTTGCCTAGCAGGAATGAAGACCTGGATCCCATACCCAGCACAGAATACATTGGATATAGTGAGTGACAGCCTACTTGGGAGGTAGATCAAGGTCTACGCAAACATTTAAACTAACACGCAAAGAAGATACACAGATGCCACACACATATGTAAACATGCTGAACATAAACATATTGTTAGGAATCGTGAATTAAAAGAAGATAATTTCACACCTCTTGGAGACTAGCCCAAATCTACAATTCTAACCATACACCATGCTGGTGAGTACGAGGAGCCAGGGGAACTGTCAGAGCCGATGAGAAGGCAAAAATGGTGTGGAAAACAGCTTGGCTGTTTTTCAAGAAACCACTCTACTTTTAACATAAGGTCAATATTTACACAAATGAGTTGGAAGTGATGTCTACAGAAAAACCTGCACACAGATGATTGTATCAGCTCTAGCCACACTTGCCTAAATCTGCAAGCAGCTAAGATGTCCTCCAACAGGCAAACTGATAAACTGGTAATTACAATGGAATAATTTTTAAGTTAAAAAGTGAATTATCAAGCCTTACTAGGACATGGAGGAACCTGAAATGTATAAGATGAATACAGCCAGTCTGAAAAGACTGTATACTGTAAAACACAACTACATGACATTCTAGTAAAGCAAAGCTATAGAGACTCTAAAATGTTTATCGGTTACAAGTGTGTGTGTGTGGAGGGGGGCGCGTGCTAGTGTAATAGACCAGAGGAATTAAAAGCAGTGAAAATATTCTTCAGGATGCTGTAAAGAGGATACTTAATATGCACTTGTCCGAAATATTAGATCACACTAAGAGTGGACTCTTATGGATTTTAGTTAATAATGTATCAGCACTGTAACAGAGTTGCCGTAGGAATGTAAAATGTATTTTTGCGTGCTTTCTCCACGAAGTGCGAGTCAAGGCAACCAAGGTCCAGCGTGGGCACGCCCCCTCGGGACTAGACAGCCACAAAGAGCATCGATGCTAACCGATGCCTGTGAGGGGGTCTCCTTCCGGGAGGCCCAAGCAGCCAGGAGAAGCCACAGGCAGCTGGTGTCGCTCCTCGGCCTGGCCAGACTCCAGGTCTGAACAAGGCGGGCAGAGCGGCAGGTGTCGGCTGGCAGGCGAAGCTTGGAGCCAGCACACGTGCAAGTGGAGTCCCCTGCCAAGAGCTCGACAAGTCACCATCAATTCCAGAGACGTAGCTTCCACATTGGAAACTGCGAACCGAGCTCACTGCTCACCCACATTCCCTCAGGGTAAGCCCCACAGCGCCCCCTGGCGACCAGAGCCGGCCGGAAGCATAGGGGTGGGCCCTCACACGCCCCGCCCCCTTCCAGGCCAATCGGAGCACGCGGCTCATGAATAGTGAGCGCGCGGCGCCGCCCCGCCCCGAGTCCGCGGCACCGCCCGCTCGCGCAGACCCCGAGCGTGGCCGCAGCGAAGATGGCGACTGCCATGTACTTGGAGCACTATCTGGACAGTAAGCACTCTGGCCGAGCCGCCGCCTACGCGGGTCCGCGCTGCCGCTGCCCCCGGCCCACCGCGATCCGTGCGGGGCTCCGGGATGCGGGGGAGGATGGGGACCGATCATGGGGACTGTGGGGGCTTACGGTCGGGCTGGGGCGCGGCCGCGGATGGAGGGCGTGGGGCGCGGCGCGGGGTCCCACCGCCTCCGCCGCGCCAATTCCAGGTGCGTCACGGAGGGGTGTGGCCTGCGACTCAGCCCGCCTTCACCGCTTCGGCCACACCTCCGACGCTGACCACGCCTCTATCCCCTCCTCTCTACTTCAGTCTAGCTTGCGGGGAGGCCCGCCCCTTCTTCACCTGAGGCTTGTGGTGCTAATCTAGCTGTAGAGCCAAACACACACGCTGTTTGCCTGTGGAGCTGTAGGAAGGAGCTCTAGGCTAGTAAGGTGCGTTTTTCGAGAGAACTCGTGCTATCACGAGCCAGCCCGGCAAGGGGGGATGTCCTATATAACGGGTTGACCTTTGACATCCCAGGCATTGGTAACCCCGTTTATTTATAGAGGGTGCGATGGACTCCCGGCAAGAACTGGGAGGAGGGTTATTTCCCACTCTATAGTGGAAGAATTGAGACTCTTTGGAGGAAGGTGCATCTAGCCAGTGGGGTGCCCGTTTTCTACTTGGGACTGGGCAGTGGGACTCCAAGGTGAACCATCTTTATTCTGATGTCTGTCCAGTGAGCGTTCTGTGGTGGGTTCAAGGCGAGTTCATTTCACTGCTGGCATCGTGTGGTGTCCCTGTCTGCTCTTCCTACCTGCCCTGTGCCACCCACGTGTTGGCAGGAGTCTTATTTCTCTACAACTTACTGATTAGTTGGGGCACACTTTTTTTTTTTTTAAAGCTCACAAGATTAAGACATGGGCATAAATAGAGATCCAGAAGCTGCAGATAAGGGTCCCTCTGTCTGAGAGTAGAGGTCCACAGGAAGGTAGAAAGGTAAACAGTTGCCAGGGTCACAGGAGTCAAGCTGTAGAAAGGAATGTCTTGATGAGCTCAGGAAGTTACAGACTTAAAACAGCAAGTTTTATGAGATTTAGCTCTAAAATGCTGGCCTTATCGACTGTGGAGATATTTGAGTGCAGAAGGACCCAGAGAGGGAGCTGGAGCCTGCTGTAAACTTAAGGATTGAGGAGTCTCTGCACCTGGGGATGCAGTGTGGGCAGAAAAGCAGAATGGGGTGGTTTGCCAAGCAGCTCACTCTAACCACAGGTACTGGTGAACTGCTGAGTGGCACCTGTTCAGTGCCACTGGTTGCCTTTCCCATGTGCATAGCTGTGTCACTAGAGACTGCTGTGTTGGGCCCTGCAGGGAGAACAGTGTCTTGGGACAGGATTGTCTGCAGCTCCTGGCTTCATAGGGATCTGGACATAGTTGGAGAAATCAAGGACCCAGGTTCTAACTTGAGCTTCGGGAGGATGAAGTTCACTGTGTGTGACCTAGGGGGGTGGGAGGGTGTGGTTCAGGGGAGGAGTCTCAGCTATCTTCCCTGCCTGTGTCTTCTGGAGGCAGGTTTCTGCATCTTCCAGCTTCTGGTGCTTTTGAAACTGTCAGCCTGTTGTTCTCACTGTTTGGTACACCCAACCTCTACAAGGTCTTAATCATTTTGGTCCCTAAATCATTTTGGTCCCCAAACTAGAACAGAAATAGATGAAGCCTGCTATTGCAGGCTTTAGTATAAGGTCCTGGAGATAGTTTTTTTTTTTTTTAAAGGGAACTCCTTTTTTTTTTTTTTTAATTTTATTTTTTTGTTTACTATGTATACTGACTGCAGTGTGCCTGCATGCATGCCTGTAGACCAGAAGAGGGTACCAGATCTCATTATAGATGGTTGTGAGCCACCATGTGGGTGCTAGGAATTGATCTCATGACCTCTGGAAGAGCAGCCAGGGCTCTTAACTTCTAAGCCAGCCCCCCCCTTTTTTAAAAAAAAAAAAAGGTAAATTTTATGTATATGGGTGTTTTACATGTATGTCTGTGTAGCACATGTATCCGGTGCCCTCCAAGGCCAGAGGAGGGTATTGGATTCCTAGAACTAGAGTTACAGATGACTGAGCCTTTTCATAGGCGCTGAGAGTTGGACTTGAGGCTACTGGAAGAGGAATAAGTGCTCTTAGCAGCTGAGCCATCTCTCACCTGTGGAGGCAGGTTTTTGTCTTACTGAGAAGTACAGCAACTTTACTGTATCTTTCAGGCATTGAGAACCTTCCCTGTGAACTTCAGAGGAACTTCCAGCTGATGCGAGAGCTAGACCAGAGAACAGAAGGTGGGTATAGCCTGAGCTAGGTTTTCACTAGAGAGAGACAGGAGAGGACATGGGACATCACAGGGCCCTGAAGAGACCTCGTATAGTGGAGGGCTAGCATTGCACGGGGTCTTGGAAGGAGAGCTGGTCCTTTTTTGTTTTTGTTTTTTGTTTATTTGTTTTTTTCAAACAAGGTCTTATTATGTAGCCCTGGCTAGCCTGGAACTGGCTGTGTAGACAAGGCCAGCCCCAAACTCAGGGATCCACTTGCCTCTGCCTCCGGAATGCTTGAATTAAAGATGTACACCACCATGCCTAGTTTAGGTCCTTTTTTGGTGTTTGTTTGTTTTGAGACAGGGTCTTATTCTGTAGCCCAGGCTGGCCTCAAACTCTCATTGCACCTTTCATAGCCTTCTTGGGTAAGGCGGGGGAGTGCTGGTACTTTTAACTCAGGTTTAGTTCCCTGCATTTTTTAAAATGTGTGTGTGTGTGTGTGTATGCGTGTGTGTATATGTATGTGTGTTTGCACTTGCTGGGCATATGTGTGTATGTGTGGGAGGTTTACACTTGCCAGACATATGTGTAGGGGTCAGAAGACAGCCTTGGGTTCGGACCTCATCTTCTACCTTACTTATATAAACGGGGTTTCTTGTTGTCTTCATTGCTGCATATACAGGCTAGCTGGGATTTTCCAGTTTCTGCCGCCCATCTCCAGTAAGTGCACTGGAATTACAGAAGTACATGCTACTACACTTGGCTATTAAGTGTGATCCTAGGATTCGAGAGGATTCAGGCTCATGTCCATATGCTTTCGCTGCCTCTGAGCCATCTCCCGAGCCTATTTCTTGTAGACCTGGCTGTCCTGGAACTCACTCTGTAGACCAGGCTGGCCTCGAACTTAGAGATCCACTGGCCTCTGCCTCCCAAGTGCTGGGATTAAATGTGTGGGCCACTGTTTGGCTGTCTCCCGTTCCTGCACAGGTTCATATCTTACCTCCTCAACTGTTGTCCTTTGAAGTCAGCACATTTGATGCTTTTCTCTTTTAATTTTTTTTCTATTTCTGCTCTGTTTTATCAGTTGAGTATTCCTTATCCAAAATGCTTTAGGCCAGAAGTATTTTGGGTTTTTATGTTTTTCAGTTTTGAAATATGTAGTGAACTATCTTGGGAGTGGAACTCAAGTCTAAACAAATGAAAATGTGTGTCTGGAAGGCATTTTTATGACATTGCTATTGATTTTATATGTGAAATAATGCTTGCACTGAACTGCGTGTTAGTGACCATTACCTGAGGTCAGGTGTGGGCTCTTCCATTATGGTATCTTGTCAGTGTTCAGTTTCAAGGGAAGTAGAGAGGTGTCTCAGCAGTTAGGAGCACTGTTCTTTTAGAGGATCCAGTACCAGTAATCAGATGCTTTTCTTAGCCGTCTGATTCCAGGCCCAAGGGCTCTAAAGCCTTCTCTATCCTTCACCAGGTACCAGGCATGCACACAGTGTATTTATATACATGTAGGCAAAACATATACATAAAATGAAAATAAATATTAAAAAATTACAGATGTTTAGGAATATTCCATCAGTGTTTGAAAAGTTAGTAATGTTTTGTCTTTTGATGTTTTCCTACTAAAAACATTTCTTAACTGTTTTTTAAAAATTAGTTTATATTACCAGTATTTGGCCTGCATGTATGTCTGTGCATGGTGTGCATGCCTGGTGCCTCCAGAGGACAGAAGATGGCATTAGAGCCCCTGGAATTGAAGTTACAGACAGCTGTGAGCTGCCATGTGTGTGTTGGGAATTGAAACTGAGTCCTTTGGATGAGCAGCCACTGTTCTTAACCCCTGAGCCATCTCTCCAGCCCCTATTTCCATACTTAAGAAAAAGACATATTTGTTTTATATCGTGCATAATTGTTTTGCCTACATCTATGTATCTGTAGTACGTGTGTGCCTTGTGTCGGGAGATGAGAGAGAATCAGACTCACTGGAGCTACAGTTAGGATGGTTGTGAGATGCTGGAGGATTAAGTCTCCAGCTCTATATACTTAAAACGTTTTTTTGATGATTTATTTATTTATTTATTTATTTATTTATTTTATGTATATAAGTTCACCATTGCTCTCTTCAGACACACCAGAAGAGGCCATCAGACCCCATCGCAGATAGTTGTCAGCACCATGTGGTTGCTGGGAATTGAACTCAGGATCTCTGGAAGAGCAGTCAGTGCTCTTAACTGCTGAGCCATCTCTCCAGCACTACTTAAAACTTTTGAAAAAGATTTACTTATTTTTATTTATGTGTATATGCCTGTGTATATGTGTGTAGATACCTGTGGAGGCTAAAAGAGGGTGTCAGGTCTCCTAGCTAGAGTTAGAGGCAGTTATGAGCTGCCACAGTGAGTGTTGGAAATCAAAGTCCAGTTCTTTAGACTCTAGTGCTTTTGACTGCTGAGCCATCTCTCCAGCTCACTCTTTTTAAAGTTAATTGCTTTGTGTATGTGTAAATCCATAGTCACGTGTATACCTGTCATAGTGTGCGTATATGTGGAGATCAGAGGGTAACTTTGGGAATCCGGGTCTTTCTAGGGATTGAACTCAGGTCATTGCGCTTGATGGCAAATATCTTCAGCCACTGAGCCATTTTTACTGTCTGTCCCTCCACCCCTCCAAATAGGGTCTCCTAGCCTGAGCTGGTCTTGAACTTGCTGTGTAGCTAAGGCTGGCCTGAAGTCCTAATCCTTCCTCCTCTATCTCTCAAGTACTGGGATTGTAGAAATGTGCTGTCCTGCCAGGCTTTCAACACCCTGCTTCTAAACAACATGCTCTTGCCGCTCACCCTTCCTTCCCTTGTTCCTTCTTTCCTTTCTTTCTGTCTTAGGTGGAACTCACTGTGTAGACCAGGATGGCCTGGAACTCACCAGAGATGCACTTGCCTCTGCCTCCTGAGTGCTGGGATTAAAGGCGCACACCACCACACCAGGCTTCTTTTTTTCTAAATTACATTTTATTTCATTTTTGTGTACATGTGTCTGTATGTGTACGTGTGCTTGCAGTAGTCTCTGTGAGGTTTAGAGGACAATTTGTGGGAGTTGTTTATTTTCTTTCCATCATGTGTCCTGGGAATTGAACTCAGGTAGTCAGGTTTGGTGGCAAGCTCCTTTACTTGCCACTGTCATCCTGCTGGGTTTGTTACCCTCTTGTTGGTTTTTCTTATTTTTAATCAGTTCCAGACTAGTTTTATTATGACAGTTTAGATGTCTTCTGTTTTTTTGGTTTTTTTTTTTTGTTTTGTTTTTTAAAACATGGAATGCTTCACGGATTTTCATGTCATCCTTGCGCAGAGGCCATGCTAATCCCTGTATTGTTCCAATTTTAGTATATGAGCTGCTGAAGCAAGCCCGAAGATGTCTTCTGGACAGCAAGCACTGTTTGCCTGTCTCCAGGGTGTGGTCTACTACAGTCCCTGGTGAAGAGGGTGTGTTTGCAGGGCAGCCCTGTGTTGTACTTACATGACTTATTGTATTTTGAGACAATGTTACTTTGTGTGGCCCTGGCCATCCTGGAACTCACTCTGTAGACTAGAGTGGCCTTGAACTCACAGATATTCCCCTCTTTGCCTTCATGCGCTGGGTATGCACCTCTAAGCCTGGCTCTTACAGGATTTTTCTGAGTAACTGTTTTCCTTGGAGTTATTGATAACTTTTTTTTTTTTTTTTGGTTTGGTTTTTCGAGACAGGGTTTCTCTGTGTAGCCCTGGCTGTCCTAGAACTCACTCTGTAGACCAGGCTAGCCTCAAACTCTCGAACTCAGAAATCCGCCTGCCTCTGCCTCCCAAGTACTGGGATTAAAGGCGTGTGTCACCACCGCCCAGCTATTGATAACTTTGTTTTCTTTGCTTCCCACTTTTTGCCCTTTGCTTCCAGCCACTCCCCCTACCCCCCCAGGCTGCCAGAGTGAGATCCTGCTGAAGGGTCCTCATTCCCCAGACTGTTGATGATCGTGTGTTCTCCCACCCTTCTTTGCCGCTCTTGAAAATCTCTGATTACATTCTCTTTGGCGAACCCTGTTCCTTGAATCGTGGAAGTCTTCCCTTTTGATTTGCTCCGTTTGTTTTGACAGGGACAGAAGGACAGGTAAATTTGCTAAAGGTGAACTTCCGGTGACAGCAGGCATGTGAAAAAGTAGTTGTAGCCGGGCAGTGGTGGCACACGCCTTTAATCCCAGCACTTGGGAGGCAGAGGCAGGCGGATTTTCTGAATTCGAGGCCAGCCTGGTCTACAGAGTGAGTTCCAGGACAGCCAGGGCTACACAGAGAAACCCTGTCTCGAAAAACCAAAAAAAAAAAAAAGAAAAAGTAGTTGTTTCAGCTTTCTGTTTGCTGTTCATCTGGGTGTGGAATTCTGGGTCTTTATGATCTCTTTGTTTCATAATGTTGAGAATATCTCTGCTTTGTCTCCTGACTTGCATGTTGGTGTTGAGAAATCTGATATTATTTAGATTCTGAGATTAAGCAAATTTGGTATAGGGTCTGGAGAGCTGCCTCAGTGGTTGTTGGGTTTGTAGACGATCTGAGTTAGCTTCTCAGCAGCACATCAGGAGGCTCACTGTTACCTGTAATTCCAACTCCAGGGATCTGATACCCCTGGCCTCCTTGTGTCCTTGTGTGCACATATCCACACATGCACACATAAAAAAACTAATAAAAATGTGGCAGACCTTTAATCCCAACACTTGGGAAGGAGAGGCAGGCAAATCTCTGCGAGTTTGAGGCCAGGCTAGTCTAAATAAGAGAGTTCTAGGACAGCCAGGATTGTATAGTGAGACATTCTCTCCAAAAACCAACCAAACTAAAACAAAAAAATTAATAAAAAAGTCTTTATAAAACTGAAAAGAAACGTTCTCTTTTCTTTCGAGATTTATTTATTTATTTTCATTTATTCATTTGATTTTTCTTTTTTTTTTTTTTTGTTTTGTTTTGTTTTGTTTTTCAAGACAGGGTTTCTCTGCGTAGCCCTGGCTGTCCTGGAACTCACTCTGTAGATCAGGCTGGCCTCGAACACAGAAATCCACCTGCCTCTGCCTCCCAAGTGCTAGGATTAAAGGCATGCGCCACCACCACCCGGCTCATTTGGTTTTTCAAGACAAAGAGTTTCTCTGTGTAGCCTTGGCTGTCCTGGAACTGACTCTGTAGACCAGGCTAGCTTTTAACTCAGATATCTGTCTACCTCTGCCTCTCATGTGCTGAGATTAGAGGCGTGCATCACCACTGCCTGGCAATGAGATTTAAATTTTTATTTACTGTTTTGTTTTGTGATAGGTGTTATGGTAAATATTATTTGGGGGCATCTGCCCCACCTTTGATCATTTAGTTCCCAAATAAAAGACACAAAACCTTTACTTTATTTTTTTTTCATTTTTTTATTTTTATTTTTTTTGGTTTTTCTTTTTTTTTTTGGTTTTTCAAGACAGGGTTTCTCTGTGTAGCCCTGGCTGTCCTGGAACTCACTCTGTAGACCAGGCTAGCCTTGAACTCAGAAATCCGCCTGCCTCTGCCTCCCAAGTGCTGAGATTAAAAGCGTACGCCACCACTGCCCGGCCAAAACCTTTATATTTTTAATAAGCCTTAAAGCATTAGCACTGGGCAGATACCAACTTTCTGTGCTATATTTCATCTACTTCCTGTCAATAACTCTGAGATATCATTTGCCACGAATTGGCTGGGCTACTTCTTCTTTTTTTTTTTTTTTGTTTTTTTTCGAGACAGGGTTTCTCTGTGTGCCCGGGCTACTTCTACTCCAACAAGCTGGCCCTCATTACCATGTGGTCACAACCCACCTACCCCAAAGCCCCTTTCTCCTCTCTCCCTTCATGATCCCTGCCTCAGACTCTAAGCCTAGGAACCGTAGCCCTGCCTACCTCTCTTACTGCCCAGCTACAGGCTGTAGGCATCTTTATTCAATCAGTAGCTTTAAATTAAGGAGCAAGGTTTGCACAACCAAAGCTGGCTACATGAGAGTTCACTCTGTGGCATCCAGAATTCAGCATTTCAATATGTTGCAATAGTCCAAATCTCACCAGACAGACATGGTTTCTGTGCAGCAGCACTAGCTGTCATAAAACTTGTTTTGTAGACCAGGCTGGCCTCAAACTCACATATAACCATTTCCTAAGTGCTGGGATTAAAGGCACATGTCATCATATTCAGTGTAATGTGATTGTTTTTTGAATTATTTTTATGTGTTTGTGTATTTTGCCTGCATACCTGTGTCATGTTTGATGCCAGAAGAGGGCTCTGAGATCTTTTTTTAAAAAGATTTATTTATTTTATGTATATGAGTACACCTTAGCTGTCTTCACACACACCAATAGAGGGCATCAGGTCCCATTACAGATGGTTGTGAGCCACCATGTGGTTGCTGGGAATTGAACTCAGGACCTGGAAGAGCAGTCAGAGCTCCCAACTGCTGAGCCATCTCTCCAGCCCTTCTCTGAGATTTCTAAGTTTCACAGGGGCATTCTTTAGTTTTCATTGCTCATTGCTGGGACTGCTTACAGATTAGAAGCACTGTGGTTTTCACATGTGGTCGCATTTTGGGAACGAGAAGACTTCATTCCTTGGAAATATGATTGACATTCAGACAGTTATAAAATGTTTATAGATGAGTTTACAGCTGCCATTAGGCCAGGTTCTTCTCTTTCCCACCTCTCAGCTGGTGAGACCTACCATGGCACCTGGAAACCTTGTGGGAGTTGCTGTAGACCCTCTCCCCTTGTAACCACAGATAGTCTCACTTCTCAGTCAGAGCAAAGAGCCGTACGTGTCTCTCCTGTTACTATTCATGGAAGCATGCAGGATGTTTCTATAGGATTTGCTGTGTTGTTCACTCTTTCCATATGCGAATGAGGTGTATGATAGGAGCCAGGCAAGGTGATGTGTTGCTGTCCAGAAAGCGCACAGTGACATGTCCAGTGATGCTCCACTAGCTTCCTCGATGCATGTCACCGCTTCTCACTTCCACTTGTCACCTGTCCTCATTAGATAAGAAAGCAGAGATCGACGTCCTGGCTGCGGAGTATATTTCCACAGTGAAGACGCTTTCGTCAGCCCAGCGTGTGGAGCACCTCCAGAAGATCCAGAGTGCCTACAGCAAGTGCAAGGAGTACAGTGATGACAAGGTGCAGCTGGCCATGCAGACCTACGAGATGGTGAGTGCAGGGGCCCGGTGCAGCCTTCTGCTGCCGTCCCTGACCCTGAAGGAGAGCGTATGCAAGTGTGTGAGGGTGTATGGGAGTGTGTGAGGGTGTATGAGAGTATGTGAGGGTGTATGGAGTGTGTGAGGGTGTATGG